AGATGAAGAAACTTTAAGCATTCTTAAAAAAATTAAGAAAACAGGCAAAAAGAAATTAATAAGCGGTTCTAAAAATGAAACAGATGTTGAAGCTGATGATGATGACGATGAAGATGACGATAATGATGGCGATGATGATTTAGACCCAAATGGAAATAAAAAGGTTCAAGAAGATTCCGATGAAGAAGATGAAGAAACTCTAAGCATTCATAAAAAAATTAACAAAAAAGGCAAAAAGAAATTAATAAGCGGTTCTAAAAACAAAGCAGGTGTTGAAACTGATGATGATGATGATGAAGATGACGATGAAGATGACGATGATGGAAATAAAAAGGTTAAAGAAGATTCTGATGATGATAGTGAAGAAACAGTTGTTATTCGTAGAAAATTTAACAAAAAAGGCAAAAATCAATTAAAAACAGTTACTAAAACTAAAACCGATGTTGAATCTGATGATGATGATGATGAAAGTGATGATGATGATGATGATCTAGACGCAGATGGAAATAAAAAGGTTAAAGAAGATTCCGATTATGAAAATGAAGGAACTTCAAGTATTCTTAAAAAAAATAACAAAAAAGGCAAAAATAAATTAAAAACAGGGTCTAAAAACAAAATAGATGTTGAAGCTGATGATGATGACGATGAGAATGACGATGATGAGGATAATGATGATGATGATGATGATGGTAGTTTAGATGCAGATGGAAACAAAAAGGTTAAAGAAGATTCCGATGATGAAAATGAAGAAACAGTTGGCATTCGTAAAAAACTTAATAAAAAAGGCAAAAATAAATTAAAAACAGTGACTAAAAACAAAACAGACGTTGAAGCTGATGATGATGAGGAAGATGACGATACTAGTGATGATGATGATGATGATGATGAGTTAGAAAGCGATGATGATGATGATGACGAGACCAGCAGTAGAACAAAAGTCAAATGGGCAATTAGGAAACACGGAAGAAAACATTTTAGAGCTGGGAGAAATCATCACGGTAGGTCTAGATTTTATAGACGGTTTAAGACCAGCCGTAAGTATAAATCTAGAGTAGGATATGGAAGAAATGGAAAGATTGATGAAGATTTCGACGAGGAAGAAGAGTCGCTAGACGACAAGAAACACGGTAGATTCCATCTTAGGAGAAACAGAAAAACAAAATTTCATCACGGCAGAGGAGACAGTTGTGAAAGTGACAATACTGAAGAAAGAAAGAAGAAATCAGACGATGACGATGAAGATGACGATGACGAGAACGTGAATAACCGCAACGGTTGGAACAGCCGAAAAGTGGGGAAACAATTTGGAGCCAAATTTGGAGCCAAATTTGGAGCCAATTTTAAACGAGGCTGGTGGAACAGGAATCGAAATTTCGTGAACAAAGGAGGGAATGTTGCCAACAGAAACGGCTGGCGTTTTGGTGCTAAGGCAGGGGTCTCCGCCAGGCTTGGACCCAACGCCCTCAAGTTTGCTAGAAACGGTGGCAAAGCCCAATGGAATGCCGGCTTTGGTGGTAGACAAAATTGGAGGGCCGGCGTCGGTGGTAGACCAAACTGGAGGGCCGGCGTCGGTGGGAGACCAAATTGGAGGGCCGGTGTCGGTGGTAGACCAAACTGGAGGGCCGGTGTCGGTGGTAAATCCCAAGTAAACGCCGGCTTTGGTGGTAAATTAAATTGGAGGGCCGGCTTCGGTGGTAGACCAAACTGGAGGGCCGGTGTCGGTGGTAGACCAAACTGGAGGGCCGGTGTCGGTGGTAGACCAAACTGGAGGGCCGGTGTCGGTGGTAAATCCCAAGTAAACGCCGGCTTTGGTGGTAAATTAAATTGGAGGGCCGGCTTCGGTGGTAGACCAAACTGGAGGGCCGGTGTCGGTGGTAGACCAAACTGGAGGGCCGGTGTCGGTGGTAGACCAAACTGGAGAGCCGGCGTCGGTGGTAAATCCCAAGTAAACGCCGGCTTTGGTGGTAAATTAAATTGGAGGGCCGGCTTCGGCGGTAGACCAAACTGGAGGGCCGGCGTCGGTGGTAGACAAAACTGGACTGCCGGCTTCGGTGGTAAATCCCAAGTAAACGCCGGCTTCGGTGGTAGACAAAGTTGGAGGGCCGGCGTCGGTGGTAGACCAAACTGGAGGGCCGGCGTCGTTGGTAAACCAAACTGGAGGGCCGGCGTTGGTGGTAAATCCCAAGTAAACACTGGCTTTGGTGGGAAATCCCAAGTGAACGCCGGCTTCCGTGGCAAATCAAACTTGAGAGCCGGTTTTGGTGGTAAATTCCAAGTAAACACTGGCTTTGGTGGGAAATCCCAAGTGAATGCCGGTTTTGGTGGAAAATCAAACTTGAGAGCCGGTTTTGGTGGTAAATCCCAAGTAAACTCTGGCTTTGGTGGGAAATCCCAAGTGAATGCCGGTTTTGGTGGCAAATCAAACTGGAGAGCCGCCTTTGGTGGAAAATCCCAAGTGATCGCCGGCCTTGGTGGTAAAACCCAGGTGAATGCCGGCTTTGGTGGCAAATCCACCTGGAGAGCCGGCTTTGGTGGTAAATCGCAAGTAAACGCCGGCTTTGGTGGCAAATCCCTCTTAAAAACCGGCTTCGGTGGAAAAGCAAACTGGAAGAGCGGATTCGGTAGCAAATCAAATTGGACGGCCGGCTTTGGTGGTAAAACCCAAGTAAACGCCGGCTTTGGTGGAAAATCCCTCTTAAAATCCGGCTTCGGTGGAAAAGCAAACTGGAAGAGCGGATTCGGTAGCAAATCAAATTGGACGGCCGGTTTTGGTGGTAAAACCCAAGTAAACGCCGGCTTTGGTGGAAAATCCCTCTTAAAATCCGGCTTCGGTGGAAAAGCAAACTGGAAGAGCGGATTCGGTAGCAAATCAAATTGGACGGCCGGTTTTGGTGGTAAAACCCAAGTAAACGCCGGCTTTGGTGGCAAATTGAACTGGAAGGCCGGCTTTGGAGGTAAATCCCTTTTAAAATCCGGCTTTGGTGGTAAATCCCAAGTCAACGCCGGGTTTGGCGGCAAGACTAACGTAAACACCGGCTTTGGCGGCAAGACTCTCCTGAAGACTGGCTTTGGCGGCAAGACTAACGTAAACACCGGCTTTGGCGGCAAGACTCTCCTGAAGACCGGCTTTGGCGGCAAAACTAACGTGAACACCGGCTTTGGCGGCAAGACTCTCCTGAAGACCGGCTTTGGCGGCAAGACTCTCCTGAAGACCGGCTTTGGCGGCAAGACTAACGTGAACACCGGCTTCGGCGGCAAGACTAACGTGAGCACCGGTTTTGGCGTCAAGACTAACGTGAACACCGGCTTTGGCGGCAAGACTAACGCGAATACCGGCTTTGGCGGCAAGACTCTCCTGAAAGCTGGCTTTGGCGGCAAGACTAACGTGAACCACGGCTTTGGTAGCAACGCTCATGCATCATCTGGCATCAGTGCAAAAGGTATCGGTCATGGGCAGACAACCAACAAAAATACAATTCTAAAGGGAGGGAAACCCGCCGGACAATAACACAACTGACCGAAGATTAGAAACTCTGCTGCATACATTGAAGTAAGTCCTTGGGTGTACTGTATGTTTTTGATGTACAATACATTATACCAGGGGTCTCCAAACTTTTCATTCCGAGGGCCGCATTAACTATCAAACTTCAGTTCGGGGGCCAGTTTCTTCCAGGCAAGTCTTTGATTTTTCTGGGCAAAGTTCCTCAGCCATCACCAACAAACGATTTTTCCTTGGACAAAAAGATCTCCGCGGGCCGGATGAGAGGACTTCGCGGGCCGCATCCGGCCCGCGGGTCGTAGTTTGGAGACCCCTGCATTATACTGAAAACTGTTTTATCCTAACAGTTCCCTCGCTTGAGGATAAGCTCGTTTGGTCTATTGAAGCAAAGTTCAGTTTGTGATACGTGTTGTCGATATATGACAACACAGACTGAGTCAGGGAAATGTAAACCCTGACTTGGGTTGATCCTACTGTGTTGGCTTTAGGTTTAAGTAAGCTTTGATTACATTTCAGTAACGGATTGAGTTCAGTGAGAGTGCTTTGTGTGTGTTTGTATGTGAGTTAGGTGTGTTTGTATGTGTGTTTGGTGTTTGCCTGATTTGGTTTAGATCTGCTGGGTCTGAACAGTTATCATTTCGGACATGACGATCTATACAGCAGATGAAGTAGAGTTTATCTGTCTATAATCGTAGCACATGAAATGATGGTGTAGTCAAATCTACGCCCAGGCACCCTCAACATGACTTACCCTCCAGAGCTAGGTGGAATCATGATTGTCCGTGATCAAACTAGAGACTTTGGCTGGAAGGCATGAGCTCAACCACCCAACCATGCCGTTCCACGTGTTGGGATTGAGTGTTCTTTACTATTTACATGTCTTCTAATTTTTTTTCGATAATTTTGACCTTGGTTTCGCCTAAACTTATCATCTAAATGAAATGACTGAGCTGAGTGTTATTTACTATTTACATTTCTTCTAATTTTTTTTCGCTAATTTTGATCTTGTTTTCCCCCTAGATTTATCATCAAAATGAAATGACTGAACTAACCACCACACAATCACAAGTACTGAACAAGCTTCTCATGTAATTGCCACAACAATAATGAGAATAAAGTCAAATATCACATTATAATTCTTGTCATTGCTTTATTGAGACTGTCAAATTTTTGCTGTGAAACATGATATACAACACTTGACGACACTGACCAATCAATATATATTCTATACAGTTTCTAGAGAGTTGTAGTGGCGTGTACGTATGTATTTTGTGGGGACCATTGATATTTTCCTTTGACTTATATCAGTTAATCGACAGGGGCATTAAAGGATGGATAAGGCACGCCTTGAGAAAGGAAGTGGATAACCTCACAAGGCAAGCGTTAGACTGGTCACTAGAGCAAAGTAGACTGGCCAGGGCAATCCAAGGACGGGGGAGGGACAGATAATGGTTGCCAGGTTACAACCACTCAAATAAATTGAGATGTCCAAAACAGAGCTCGGTGGAGAGGTGTGGCTGTAGACATACGGTCCCCTAGGGCTCCCAACAAATAGGTCAAGCAGTGACCTCAGCAGTCGAGGAAAACAAGACATTTGTGTATTAAGGGATGAGGATGTTGATTGGTGTCGTTTGCTGAACAAAAAGGATGTTATTAAACCCAGAGGCGTAGCTAGGGGAGGGCGAATTGGGCGGCGGCCCCGGGCGCCAACCTTAGACAGCGCCGAACGGGGTAGGAAATAAAAACAAATAACTCATTTTGAGCTGCATTACTTAACTATACACAGTCAAAGCTGAGAAAAAAGTTACTTGGCTTTACTGGCTTATTTAACTGTTTTCAACATTAGTTGTTTAACACCAACATAAAAACCGTTAAGAGACAGTGACTGGTAAAAAGCGCTCCCGACCTATGCGAATACAGGAAAAGGGGGCTGTTTTGGCAATGAAAATAACTGTATAAATGGGGGGGGGGGCGCGATGTTGATTGTTCGCCCTGGGCGGAGGTTTGGATCACTATGCCTCTGATCAGACCACTGGTTTACATCACTAAATATTACAATTATTATTTCAGACTCATTACAAGTTGCTATTCTTAATAATTGATAAACATCTAATAATACAAAATAACATAGTGCTTTCTGTTGTTTCGTCTGTAATCTATTCGTCAAATCCAATAATGTAGGACATTAATCACGACATTGTAGGCAGATCCTAGCGCCACCTACAGATTTGTTTTCATGTTGTCACAATGGGTGCATAATGAGAGCTCGTGATAGGGTAATGAAACGTTGGTCACGATGAGGAGTTTTTAAAAAGTAAATTAATATAACAAGATGTGACCACACAATATAGGCTGACATTAATTATACAACACTGGGTTAGGTTAGGTTAGGTTAGGTTAGGTAAGGTAAGGTAAGGTAAGGTTAGGTTAGGTTAGGTTAGGTTAGGTTAGGTTAGGTTAGGTTAGGTTAGGTTAGGTTAGGTTAGGTTAGGCTAGGTTAGGTTAGGTTAGGTTAGCTTAGGCTAGCTTAGGTTAGCTTAGGTTAGGTGCTTTGCTCGGTTTCATCACGGAAAGTCGTGTGCCTTCGTGTCAATTTTATAGGGTGCTGTTCAAAACTAGCGTACCATGCCGGAGGACGCGCTTCATTAAATTTATTGAACACTAAATCTTATCCATATTCTATCGCACTCTTTAAAACGAATGTATGCGCCATAGCGCTCACGGGAAAGCCTGGGTAGCAAAAGAGCACCCTGCGTAGCACCATCGAACTCCTTACAAAGAACGTATGAGTCATAGTGCTTATGAGTGAGGCCTGGGCTTCAAATCGCCTCCTTTCGAGGTGCCGGAAGATGAGCCTGTTTCGATATATTCAACGTAGATGCGATAGTCACTTCGGCTCAGACAATCTCCGGGGCGCCGCGATTGCGACTGTTGCAGTTTTGCATTTAAATAAAGTAGAACCCCTTACATGCTATGCAGGACTCCCAATTAACTGATACCAAGTGCAAACATTCCCGCCTTGGAACTTAGGGTGCAATACCGTGTATTTAAAATAATCGTACTCTCCCGGGCGCCACACAATTTTCTTTTCTTCGCACAAACCTTCTTGTTAGTATTCTTATCGACTCCCCAAAGTTTTATGGCACAGATGAACGTTTTCAAACCGCATCAGACTTTTTATTTTTATGTACCGTATAGAGAGAACATTCGGATCATGCTGGGCACCGCCACTACGAAACTAAATATTTCCCCAGAGTATCTTACTTCCCAAAGTTTCCTGGCGGTCGGATGAAAGGTGTAGTAATGCATAAACGACAAACTCACCCTCAAATATACCCTGCACTAGCCTCTGTGAAAAGCCAATATGTAAAGGACCATGACTTCTGTGTTTACCAGGCAGCATATACCCTGCTTCGCCCGGGTTTAAGAAATATATTGCTTTTCTAAATAACCCTAACCACAATCATCGAAAAACAAAACATAAATGCAAAAACAAACGCTGACATAAGATAAACACAAACCTAAACACAGACGAAAAAAAAAGGAAATACAAACGCAAACGTAAGGCAAACACAAAAGCAAATACAGGACGAAATGCCAACAGAAACATAAACGCAACGCAAACACAAACATTAACATAAATGCAAACACAAACGTCATCACAAACGAAAACATGAACACAAACGCAACACAAACATGATCATAATCACAAACGCCAACACAAAGGCTAACATACGCGCTGACGCAACGCAAACATATTCATAAACGCAAACACAAACGCAAACGCAAACACAAAGATAAACAAAAACGCAAAACTAAACGCATACAATAACGTAGAAAATAAACACAAACTGAAATGCAAATATAAAAGGAAAGTGCTTACATTATAGTCATCCATCCATCCATCCATCCATCCATCCTTCCATCCATCCATCCATCCATCCATCCATCCATCCATCCATCCATCCATCCATCCATCCATCCATCCATCCATCCATCCA